TTTTGTCAATGAAAATTCACACTTAGATGGTATACTTGTTCTATTATCATGACATGAGTTTATTAAAATCCACACCATTTTACGTAAATCATCATTCATAGACACTTTCTCTAATCCTCTGAGCAACATGCCCCCTTTGAAAGAGAACTTTTTCGAGTTCTTGCTCAAAGGGGCTCTTCACCTTGTAAAAGAAAAGGGAGTTTCCCAAGGATCTAAAACCACAATCTCATTCATTGGCCTCTACCCGATATTGTGAAAGAAAACAATTAAACGGAAGGAAAAATGTAGCGGAAATCTATGACTAATGAGTAGAAGTAATACAGCACAAAGGCAAGCAATATATTGACAAGCATGCAGTGGAATAAAGATTAGACAAAAATAAATAAAATTATAGGCTATTGCATCAGCCCAAAGTTATCCAGTGCGCACTCGAAGGGTTTAACGGCTCCGAGTTCCCCCGTCATAAAAAATAAAATAAAATAAAATAAAATAAAATAATAATAATAATTAGACAAATTTTAGAAAATCAATTCGGGAAGTCGTGAAAATATTCTCAACAAATCAAAATTAAGGAGTCAAAGATTAATTTGTTCAAATCCACAGCCATTTGGACAGAATTCTTGCTCCTACATTTCGTAATCATCATCATCAAAGACATTTTCTTGAAACAAAATAATGGAGAACTTTGAATCAATCAGCTCTTGGCAGCTTGCTTTTCTTTAGCCTTCTGAATCTTTAGAACCTTCTTCACAATTTTTTGCTCTTCAACCAAGAAGGCTCGAATTATCCTGGGAAATATAAGTAGATTAGTTAAACCATCACAAGAGAAAAGAAGAATCAGAATTTTTTCTCATGCTAATACAGCAACATACCTCTCCCTAACAGCGCCTCCAGACAGTACACCACCATAGGCACGGTTTACAGTCCTCCGGTTCCTGGATAATCTGGACCTCTTGTATTCAGCAGGTCTCAAATGAGGAATCTGCAAGGTGGTCGACAAATTGACAAATTAATGGAAAATCTCAAACAGATCCAGTGATGACGTAGGTTAAGAACTCACAAACATTTATGATTGGCACTCGTTATAAAACATGTGCACAGTTTGAGTTAGTCTTCTCAGAAATGTTAGTAACTTGGAAATGTAAGATAATTTTTCTATTCTACAAGATATAAAGTTAAAACCAAGCACAATTTCTTAATACCTTTTTACATAATCATTAAAACTGACATTAAGCTTAAATGTCAGGAATGATATAAGAAATCATACAATATTCACAGCAATGCACTCAATGAGAAGCTGGATACTGGTTTCATTGTTGACATATTATACTGCGGTTCTTACAACTGTTTTGAGCCTCGACGAACAGAAAGAGGACCAAACAATGACNCTGGTTTCATTGTTGACATATTATACTGCGGTTCTTACAACTGTTTTGAGCCTCGACGAACAGAAAGAGGACCAAACAATGACATTTTAAGAACTCGAACAAGCAAAAATAATAGTGGAAAAAAAAAGTATTGTTCAAGAAAATCAAGAGTACATACCATTACAAATTTCAAAGTACCACAATGAAATTTGTCCATTGAACAGAAAACCATAAGACTGTCCTAACTCATTCACTGAATACCGATACAGGAAAGTCCCACCCCATTCTTTTGCAAAATATGCTCAACAAGGCCAGGGTCGTGTCAGGTGAAACTTAGAGGCATTCCATATTCCATGATTGAAAAAAGAAGGACTTAGTTTTAAGTTCGATTAGACATCAAGTACCATTTGAGAATCATACTCCAGATGGTGATAACTAATAACAAATCATAAAATTCGTTCCTATTCCTAATCTGGATCAGATAATGTTCCCTTACATAACACCATTGGTTGGAATATGCTCAAGCTACAAATGCTAATATCAACCTCAAGAACATGTATCAAATCTTACAGTAATCAAATTTCCACACGCAGTATCATTAAGGAAACGGTGAAATCAAAGGGGAATCTTGTCCATGCCATTAGAGCAGTATTCGCTAATGCACATCACAGATATTAGCAGCAATTTCAACATATATCTAAAATATACTTTAAAAACTAAAAAATAAAAATATATCAAAAATAACAAAATTAGCATACCCCTTGGATTCTTTTTCCAGTAACAGGGCACTTGGGTCCACTAGCTCTCTTCTTAGTGCTCTGGTACACCAGCTTCCCTCCTGATTTCCCCACATAAATTATAGCAAATGAACTACAATTTCCAAAATTTCGATTCACACAATTCAAACATAAACTTAACTATAATTTCATTATAATATAAATCATCACAGTAAATATTTGGAGAATCTATATAAAAATCCTAATTGAAATTATTGCACTTAAAATTACCAAAAAAATGATTAAATGACACAAGTACCGGGAGTTTTTACAATCCTGTGTTGATTAGATTTGGTGGCATAGCTATGCCTCTTCCGATACGTGAGTCTCTGCACCATTTTACTCTACTTGTCAACAAGACTGAAGCAAAAGGATTTACACAGGCCGAGAGCAGGTAATTTATACGAGAGCATTATCGTCTTTTAAGAGATAAAACCCTAAATCCGACGGCTCCAGTGGAGTCTCTCTTGACTGACTTTTCTCATTAAAGAATTTTCTCTTTTCAAAAGAAAATAAATGAATTTATTTATTAAAATAATAACTGTATTTCTTTCTCTATTAATTGGGGATTAATGTTTGATTTTTCTCCAAATAAAACTTTTACATCCGAAGAATAAAATAAAAATATTGGCCGGTTTATTTAGGATAAAACCACGTAATCGTGTTTTGAATGCAAAACATGTGTACAACCGTCGAATGAAACCAAGAATTATATGAGCGAGTAGATAAAAATATAATTTTCGAGTTAATTACAAAAGTAAGAACAAAATTTCAGTCAAAGATCGATAGTTTTCTCCATATAATACATCTCAAGCTACAATAAGAAAATTACAATTAGCATTAACATGGAAAAAGCAAAAACGAAGTTTCCATGTATATTTTCCTACTCGCAAAACTAATCCTAGTTAGCTTGTTAATACACCAAATCAACTGATCTCTGCTTATTCTCGACATATTTAAAACTCTAGACACCAATTTCATATCTACTTGAGCGAAAAAGTAGAGCACTTGATCCGAATCATCATCCCTACACCGTCGGATTCTCCTCAGTATGCAGTTTTCACTTCTCAAAATGTCTTTGAGCTTTCTTTCTTTCTGCATTAATGAAGAGAAAAATTACTAAAATGTTCATAATTTAAACAAGATTTATCAATTTAGTCCCAAGGGGCAACCTTTTGAAGTGATTTTCTGACTTCCATCAAAAGCTCCAGGTCTTCAGGATTGTGAAGCTCGGGTTTTTCCTTTGCACTTGCACTGGTGCAACTCTTATCTGCTCGAACAAATCGCCAAAAAATTCGTATAGATTCTTCTACGATCTCCACCAGCATATCACTCGTGATAATGTATTCGTCTGTGTCTTTCTTTCTAGCCTTCTTTTTGTCCTTTAAGCTATCCACTGCCAAGTAGCCAATTTACATGAATGTTTATAGTTTTGAGGACGAAAGGATTCATCTTGTAGGATTATTTGGGTAGTGAACTTGACAAAAGAATCACCTTTTATGACGGGAACTTGAAGAAGATTACGAAGTACACATCGACTCTTGATGTAGTTTTCAACTCTTGGCCCTTGGAAAGGTTCATCTTCAATAAATCTTTGCATGAGCACTTGAAACTGTTGAAATTCACCAGCAACTTCGTTATATTGATGGATTCCACGAGGGTCTGAATCCCATAAATCCAAGGCCTTTTCGTACTGCCAATGTAAGAACTCCCAAGAAAGACACATCTGTCCAACATATACGACTTCAACATCGCCCTGCAATTCTTTGATGAAATTTTTCATTGGGTCATTGTCACGGTTTCCATGCTTGAATAGCGAAAGATTAGGTGGAAAAATGGATTTAAGCGTTGAAGGTGACGGTTTATGCCTTGAAACTGATTGAAGAGG